CCTCACCATCCCTACACCCCACAGAGAAAGGCTCAACTCACCCCACTTTTGGCCCAGGAGATGTAGGTCTCGAAAAAGTCCAGCAGCATCTCCAAGAAGGCCCATGTCTCCTGGGGGGATGTGGAGGGAAGCAGAGTGGAGATGCTGCACCTCCAGCCGTCTGTGCCCCATGTCCCCTCTGTGTCAGGATCAGGGCTGTCAGACCACCTCAACCCAGCAGCAATGGGGCTGCAAGATGCCACTCATGCCAGCCCCTTGCCTGGGGTGCCACGAGGGGAGGGGGCACCTAAGGGTACAGGTGATGCCCAGGAAGATGACAGACAGGACAAACAGCCAGACATTGCTTGGCATTTCTGCACAAAGGGAGGTCTTGATGTGGGGGTCCGGTCCCATCCCCACCAGCTGGCCCACAGCAGGGCAAGGTGAGCTCACGTTCTTGATGATGTTTGCTGTCTCTCTCTCCAGGAACTCCTGGGTTTCACTGGCCTGGTCCAGTGCAGCTTCTGTCTGTACCTGGGGTGAAAGCTGCTGTCAGCAGTGTGATGGGGGAAGCAGGGTCCCTGCATCTCCCCCACCCTGCCCGGCAGCAATCCCTGGGGTGCAGCGTTTCTGAGCTGTGGTGTCCCCTGCGGGCACATGCTGGTAGTGCCCGGGTTCCCCGGGTGGAGGGAGCCTGCCCCTGGCAGGGTCTGCGGTGTGGGCCCCCTCCCTCTGCCCCTTGAGCAGCTCCTACACTGCAGAACTGGGAAGTCCTGCAGCAGCCACCAGCTCACTAGGCTGCAGGTTAGCCCCCCCCATCTCCACTGCAGGACCTCAAGGGCATTTTGCAGGTTGCCTCGGTCTGGAGTGCTCTCAGGAGGCCCCCTTAGGACACTTACCTCGAGCTGGGCAGCCCCACTCTGCACTAAGTGGATGTTCTCCTTCAGGCTTCGCTGGGGATGGAGAGGGGTGTCAGAGATGCAGACACCAAGGCTCAGCTGAGACCCCACCAGCAGGCTTTAGGCTCTGATGGAGGCCAAGCTCCCAGAACCTTCCCCAGCCTGGCATCACTCACCAGCGGCCCAGAGAAGCTTGTCTGCATCTTCTTGTCCAGCTCCCTCAGCCTGTGAGCATCAGCCTTCAGGTCCTCTTTCACATCCATGCCCTGGAGGAGCTGCAGTCAGCGGTGCCGCCCAGCACGGTGTCCCTGCCCCACAACGGGGGCCAGGCTGGAGTACAGAGCTGGGCGAGGGTGAAGGGTCTTGCTTCCCCACAGCACCCAGGCAGGTCTGCAGAGGACCCCCTGCAGGCACAGGGACAGGGTGGCTGTGACCATGGCCACGGGGTGCCATGGTCGCTCACCGCTTTGTCTGCCAGCCGCTCCAACTCTGCAGCCAGATCCAGGAGGCTTCCCTGGGTTATGTTCCAGTCCAGCTGGAAAAGGCAGAGACAGAGCCATGAGAATAGGGAATGGGGCTCCTTGAGGGGCTGTACCCCATCTCCATGGGGTAGGGTGAAGCCAGGGTCTCCTGGGTAGAGGAGATGCCCAGTTGCCCCAAGAAGTGACACAGATGGCAGCAGACATGCTGGGAGCCTGTGATGGAACTCACACAGCAGCAGAGGTCTCTCAACACACATCCAGATCCCCCCATCTCAACACCAGACTGCCCCCAGCCCACCTGCTCCAGGGTGAGGGTGAAGTTGGGGGGCTGCCCAGCCTGGCTGGCTTTCAGTAGCAAGTCTCTCTGGCTCTGGCTGAGCAGGGAGATGGGGTTCAGGGTGATGTTCACCTTCTTGAAGCCCGCGGAGATATCTTCCATGTACTGCCAGAGCAATGGGAGCCAAAATGGGAAACAGTGCTGGCCCATCACTGTCCCCCCAGTGCCACCCATGTGACCCAGCTCAACACCCCAGACCCTGGCACCAGCATGCTCACCTTGCTGATGTTCAAGAGCTCATCCAGGGACACGCGCTGGTCTAGGTGCAGCACTTGCCACAGGGCAGTGTCTCGCTGGCACTGCCTGCCGGAGGGGAGCACAGGGCTGAAAATGGGGCAGACAAGACCCACCCCTTCCCAGGAGCATGTCCTCACCCACATAGGCAAGGCACACCTTGCTCCTTCCCTGGCATCGGCACCTGTCCACAGCCAGGGCAAGTAGGACAAGCTGCCTCTATCCTGAGAGCATCTGAGGGTGCCAAGCAGCTGCACCCCTCCCCAAAGGCATGGCACCAGGGCTGGGACCCACCTGTACATCTCTGAGAAGTTCGCTGTCCCACTTCCCTGGCCCAGTATCTCTGACAGGTTGAAACCAGGAATCAGGCCAGGGGTGTCCAGGAGCTGAAAGCAAGGCAAAAGATGGAAAAAAACAGAGAGTGCATGGCAGGACACCTGGGAGAAGCATCCCAAAGCGGTCAGTGGCCACTCCACCAGCAGCCCTCAGAAGGGTGGCAGTGACTCCAGGCATGGGTGTCTCCCCAGGGGGAGCTCACCTGGAAGAGGTGCTGGCTGCGCCAGGACTCGCAGATGATCACGTAGGTGTTTCCCCCCAGCACGAAGGTGATCAGCACTGACAGCATCAGCAGCCAGGAGAAGATGAAGCTGAAGCCGACCCCTCTGCCAGGACAGAGAGGCCGTCAGCACCCGAGGCCCTGTGCCCTGGTGTTGATCCTAGCATTGCTTCCAGCTCGCAGAGCCCAGAGCCTGCACAGCGCTTGCCCCGCCAGCAATGCCAGGAAGCACCACCTTTCCCACGAGCATGTCTCCACTCTACCTTTGGCCCCTGGAGCACAGCCAGGCTGGGCTCTGAGGCCCAAACCCCAGCACATCTTCCTTCAGCTTTGCAAGCCATCACCCACCCACAGAGCTGTGGGGCCACACACAAACACCAGGTCCCTAACAGCCATGGACCTGGTAGCAAAGTAGGTCCCTATCAGCAAGGGGCAAACGAGTTCCTCTTCAATGCCTTTCACCAGCAACTTCTTTTACCCTGGTGTTTGTTTAGCACCAGTGAGTTGCCATGGGGCAGGCCCTTAAACTGCAGTAAAGTGATGACTTGGGTGCCTGAGCATCCCCAGGCCAGCCGTGGCCACCCGCCCCACCGCTCCCTGTCCGCGGCAGCCGAGGGAGCCTCACGCCATGAGGAAGTTCCCGCCGGCGTTGGAGAGGCTGCTGCGCTTCGTGGGCAGCACGCTGTCCTTCAGCCCCAGGGGCCCCAGCAGCAGCCCCAGGAGGTTGCAGAGTACCACCAGCAGCACCATGCAGCACAGGACGGTGCACACACTCCACCTGGGGAGAGAGGCGCAGGAGTCAGACAGCAGGACCTGGCACCCCGACCAGTACCCAGCTTCCCACCAGCTGCCTTCATGGGGAGGAAAAGCCCCCAGGCACCCTGGCAGGGAAGGGGCTGCAACTGGCTCTGGCTACCAGGCACCCACAGTCCTACCACTGATCGAGCCCCCACCTCCAGCAATGGGAGGACTGGGATCCTGAGCCGCTCCAGACAAGAGAGCCAGGGGACTCAGCAGTCCCTCACCTACCTGAGCCCATCCAAGGCAATGATCGGCTTCCTGTACTCCTCCAGCCCCAGCGTGGCATTGCCCACAAAGGCCTCAACATTCTCCTCCACATCCAGGAGTGGCAACTGCTCCTGCAAGCTCCTGATCTCCTGCCTGATGAGGCCCAGCTGGTCCTGGGTCTCTGCAGGGGGTGAGGAAAGCTTGGTGTGTTGTGAAATGCTGCCTGGGTCCTGCTCATCTGAGTTAGGTGAACCCGGGACAGCAGGGACTTGGAGAGGATGGGAAGGGGGTGGCTTTGGTCAAGGGTGGCATCAGCAGGATGGCACACAGGGACCTGGGGACAGACAGGGCTGCAGGCAGAGGGGTGGCAGCAGGAGAGGTCTCCAGGTAGGGATGGCATGAGAATGGAATATGGAGCCCTGGGAGAGGGGGAATTTGGCACATGGGGCACAAAGCCCTGCTTACTTGTCACCACATCCTGGGACTGCTCCTGCACCTTGTCAGGGGTCGTATCCAGCGTGCTGTTAACCTGCACAGGATACAGCTGATGTCCCTGCCCACAGCCCAGGGCTGAGCTCTCTCCCTCTCTCCCCAGATCCCAGTGGCACAGGACAGCCAGGGTCCTCCTAGCACCCAGCCCTGACCGTGCCAGCACCCAGGGGCGGCAGGGACAGCAGGCAGACTCCGGCCAAGGGAGGCATCTGACCGGCACATCCCTCCATGCAACATCAGTTAACTCCTGGTGGGGCTGTTCCCAAGCCATCCCCTCGCAGCACAGCCCCAGCAGCACCAGGAGCAACCAGCCCCGTGCCTGGGTGCAGGGAGGGACCTCTTACCTTCTCTAAATCGGCCGTTATGTTGGAGGCAGACACATCACCCAGAGCCTCCAGCTGCTGCTCCACGCTGGGGATCTAAGGGGAAGGGCCTGGGGTGAGGGCACTGCAGGGGGCCGGGGAGGGGGCTGCGGGGCTCCCCTTGCCCCCACGGCGCCCCTCTCACCGTGCTGAAGTTGGCGCTGAAGGCGAGGCCGTGCAGGGA